TCCACTGCTCACTGCAAAGATGCTGCTCCCCGGTCTGATCGGCATCACCGACCTGGTGGCCGTCAATCTGCAGTGCTTCGGCATGATCACTCTCGGCTACCTCAGTCGGCGCTCCAGTCTACTGGGCCCCGAGGAGGCGAAAGGCCTGAACATCTTCGTCTCCTACTTCTCACTGCCGGCGATGATCTTCCAGTCGTTGGCGACGATGCACCTCGCCAACATTGACTTCAACTTTGTCGGCTCCATCCTCCTCTCGAAGAGCATCATCTTTGCGCTCGTTCTCCTCGTCACCTACCTCCTCTCGGCCACCTCGCCCACCGCCAATCGCTACCAGATCACCCGTCGCTCGGCCATCTACTCGATGTTCTGCACGCAGAGCAACGACTTTGCCCTCGGCTATCCGCTGCTGCTGTCGCTGTACGGCAACGCCAGCGACTCGCTCGCCAACTACCTCTACATCCTGGCGCCCATTCAGCTGATGCTGCTCAACCCGGCCGCCCTGCTGATGATCGAGGTGAGCAAAAACCTGGAGGAGGAGGGTCGAAGTTCAGCCTACGTCGGCCACCGCCGTCCTTCGCTGTGCCGTCGAGCCGCCGTCCTCGGCAAGACCGTCCTCCAGAAGGTCTTCATCAATCCGATCATCCTCGCCACCGCCCTCGGCCTGGCGGTCAATCTGCTGAACGGGGAGCGCCTGCCGCCGGTGACGGCGCCCTTCTTCGCCGTCCTGGCGCAGTCCTTCTCCTCGGTGGCGCTCTTTCTGCTGGGGCTGAATCTGCACGGCAACAGCCGCCTCCTGAGCAGCTTCTCTCAGCCGCTGCTCATCACACTGCTGCTCGTGGCGCTGAAGATCTTCTTTATGCCGCTGGTGAATCGCTTCTGCGTGCAGCACGTTCGCTTTTTTCCTAGTCAACTGGCGGAGAACAACACCACCTCGACCATGGCGGAGTTTGCCTTCCTCTACGGGACCTTTCCGGCGGCGCCGACGGTGTACATCTTCAGCCACCTCTACGGCGTGGAGACGGTGATCGTCTCCAGCGGCCTGGTCATCTCGACGCTCTTCAGCGCCCCGCTGATGTTCGTCTCGGCGAACATGATCCGCCTCTCCTCGCTGATTGACTACCGCCTGCTCGGAGAGGACCTCCTGGAGACGGCCTTCTTCACCGGCGTCATCAGCACCGTCGGCTCGCTGCTGCTCGTCTACAGCTTTGTCAGCAAGTACAAGATGCGCTCGCTCACGCACTGCTACACCTTCAAAATACTGCTCTCTCACCTGCTGGTCCTCGCGGGCGGCTTTCTCTACAAGCTCAACACCGCTGATCACTTCTCTGTGGGCAGTCGTCTGTCGATGGTGCAGTACCTGCTCATCCACTGTGGCCTCTTCTCCCTCAAACTGTGGACCGTCTGTCTCTCCCTCATTCTGGTGCTCCTCTACGCGAGGAGTCTCTGCTACAGCGTCAAGGTGGCCAGTCGCCTGTTGGTCATTGGCCTGGTCGCCATTCTCGCCTACGCCGTTTTTCTCTTCTCCACCTATCGAGTCACTCCACTGCTGCTCCCTTCCAGTGGCGCTGCCCAAGCGAAGCTCACACCCCTTGATCTCTACTTTGGCGTCAACCGCCTGCACATGTTCTGCTCCATGTTTGCCTCCTGTCTGTCTATTCTCACGATGATCGTCTCGCTGGCGCTGCTGCACCGCTACAAGAGCCGCATCGAGTACCTAAGCTTGATGGAGGAGGCGAATGAAAATGGTTCTTCTACTGCGGTGGCGAGTGGTTCAAGTGGTAGCAGTGCTGCCAGCACATCCTCGGCAGCTCAGGATGATGATGATAATGATCAACAAGTGCTGATCATTGAGCAGCAGCGGCAGCATCAACCGAGTGGAAAGCAGCCACCTCCTCGAAGACAGCGCACCTCAAACAGCGCCACCATCGAAGTGGAAGATCTCTTTCTGAGCCTGCCTCGGAACCGGCTCACTTCGCTCAGTGGAGGAGGCGTTGGCGGGGACGACTTTAAGGACACCTGCCATGACGTGTGCACAAACTGTTCCAGTTCGGGTGCTGGCCGTACTGCTGCTGCTAGAGCTGGAACTGGTGCTGCAGGTGCAGCTGCTAAAGAGGGCGGCGCCTGCAGTGACCGCCTTCGCGTCTACAAGATGAACATTGAGAGTGCCATTGAGGCGGTGGAGCTCTTCAGTGGGGGAGGAGGACCTCTTTCAGCAGCGGAAGTGGGCAGCTCGGGCTCGTACGACGAGGGTTTCCACCAGGTCTTCCACCACATGTACCTGCTCCTCTTTCTCGCCCTGGCCACGGTGGTGCACCTGGTGGTGGAGGTGTACCACTACGCGGGCGAGGACGAGGCGACGGCCATTGCGGTGGAGGTGCAGTTTCTCGACATTCTCCTCACCTTCAGCGGCGGCCTCGTCATGTTCATCATCTTTGGCTTTGACATTGGCCCGCTGCTGAGGCGACTTTCGAAGGCCTGTAAGCTCTCCCTTCGCCTCAATCAGATCTACCTGCCGCCGGTGGGCGAGCTGGAGGTGGAGACGGTGGAGATTTGCGAGCAGTTTCGGGAGCGGCACCTCAAGGCGGCCATTGAGGCGATTGGCTTTCAGCTGGACAGTATTGAACCTCCTAATGCTGCTGCAGGGGAAGAACCTATGCAGCAACCTCATTCCAACTACGTCTTTTCTGGTCGTCGGCTGATTGACTGGCTAATTCGGAAGCGACTGGTTGCCAATCGCCAGGAAGGNTGGGGAAGAGATGCAGCAACCTCATTCCAACTACGTCTTCTCTGGTCGTCGGCTGATTGACTGGTTGATTCGGAAGCGGCTGGTTGCCAATCGCCAGGAAGGCCTTGACTTGGGCCGCCACCTGCTCTACGGTCGTGTCCTCGAGCACATTACCCGAGAGCACTTCTTCTGTGACAATACCTTCTACTATCGATTTATCGTCTAAAATGAGAGAAGGACATGATTGTGATTGACTGTTTTATTACTGTGCAACTTGTCGCCCCGCTTACCACCACCTAGTCGCTCAAGGAGGAATTTGTTTCTTTTCTTATGATTTCCATTTCTTTTTTGTCAGTATGATCTTGTATTTGCATTTCACTTCAGATACTCACCACTCTTGTTTACGGCGACCGATAACTTGTCATAATCTGCGATCTTGTGGATCTTGTCCAACTTTGCATATTTTTTATTGACTCAATAAAGTTTTGTTGATTTCTTTTCTTAATCCTCCTATGTTTATTGGTTTAATAGGTACTAGAGAAGGTGTGCACTCACAAGGAACTCGATTCAAATGAATACTCTTTGCTGTAAGTTGATGTGTTGTTTCAAAAGTGTATCAGAGTTTTAAAACTAGGATTTTCTTTTCTTTTCTCTTTTAGACGCAATGACCGCCCAGTGGACCTCAGTCTCTCGCTTCGACTGTCAGGCATTCCACTGAACAGTGAACTGCAGCTGGTTGCCGATGAGAAGAAGAAGAAAGCAGGGAACCAGGGCGTGAACATTTCGGTGCAGTTTGGCGATCGCCAACGACGGACGGGCGACTTTTCCAGCACACAAACACTGCTCGCTGTCATTGAGACGCTCTTTGCCGCCGACTGTCCGGAGGTGTCCGATGATCAGCTGCTACTCTCCATCAACTACCTCAATCGACAGTTTGAGGGACGGGAGGTGCTGGCCGCCACGACACTCAAGCTGATGGGCATCACCAGTGGCCGGCAGCTGCTGCGACTTCACGCCAGACCAAAGGACGCCAAAGTGGAGCAGAAGTTTACGGAGAACTTTAAGTTCAAGACGCCGGTTCCCATTAAAACTGCTACTGAGAATGTAGTTGCTTCTAAGACTGAGGAGGTTCACAAAGTGGAAAAAAATTTGGATAAGAAAGAGGAGGAGAAAGGTTCATCACTGCCCGAGACAAAGCACATTGAAGAGAAGCATCAGCCGGTTGATCTATCTCAAAAGCCGCCGAGTACCTCCTCTGCTGCTGTTCAGGGAAAGTCGCTCCTGGAGCAGTTCAAGGCGATGAAGGAGGATGCTAGAAAGAATAAAGGAAGTGCTCCTTCCTCTAGTGGACCAATCATGACCACCACAGTGAACGCCGACTCGTTGAAAGAAGTTAAATACGTAAGAAATCGCATTAAATTGTCCGTTCTAGAGCTAAATTCTTTCCTTTTTTGCAGCTCGGCGGCGATCACGAGGAGATACTGTACTCGATTGCCGAGGCGCCCGCCTTTGTCGAGCAGCAGGAGGCTGATGACTTTTACGAGCACACTGTCAGCGACCTGAAGACACTGCTGAAGCAACTGAAGCGAGAACAGTATGTTGAATTTATGATAAAACTTTTTTTCTTAACACCTTTTCTATCGTTTCATCAACAGGTCCGGTGGCACCGCCGTTGAGCCGATGCTGGAGACGGAGAAGCTGCGTGAGGAGCGCCTGCAGCGAGAGCGTGCCAAGTACCCGAAAACGATCATTCGTGTTCTCTTTCACGCCGACCGTCTGGTGCTACAGGCGCTCTTCAAGCCCACGGACACCGTCGCCGAGCTGATGGCCATGGTCGCCCGGTACATCACTGCCGATTGCAGCCCCGGCAGCTTTCACCTCTTTACGGCGCCGCCCAAGGTGATCCTCTCCCCGGAGACGAGCCTCTTTGATCTGAAGCTGGTGCCATCTGGCCTGGTGTACTTTGGCTCCACTGCAGCCGGCCCTACCTCTCCTGTGATCTCGCCTCAGTTTAGCGGCAACCTGGTGACACCCTATGCTGTGGCCGCCAATTTGTCGCTCCACCAGCTGAAGACTATCTGCCAGAAGGCCAAGGAGCAGCAGCAGCAAAACTAGCAAAACTACCGATTCCTTTTTTTTCTTGTTGTCACAAACACTTTTTTGATACTTCAATTTTTCACACTTTTTGCTTGTCCTTTGAAATGATCTGCAAGATAACATCAGCAATCTAAATTCTAAGCTTTGCAAAGCGAGGTTCTCAGTTTTTCCGCCGGGTGGCG